TGTTGACTATTGTTTGTCGAGAACAAACTGCCTTTCATCACGCATATTGCTCTACTGAATCCATGCATGTATTACGTATCAAGCCAACGATCACATGATACGTTTAGAAACAAGTTTCACAAGTGGTCACAAAGTATCACAAAATGTGTTGGCTGATAAGCAACTTTTACGATATAACCATAAAATTACGGCAAGATTTGGAATGCCAATGGAAAGATTGGAATGCCAATAAAAATTATCAATGTGTCATCAATAAAAACTATTTTATCTGTACAGTGAATAAATGTCTCTTAATTCCTCAAATGATTGCTTTCAACGTGGAAAACATATTGAAATATTGTTTACCTGACTCTAGTTTGTTGATTGTGTGTCTTTTCGAGTTGCTCATCAGAAGTACTTGGTTGTTCGGTTCGTTGACACACGCTATCAGCACTCAAGTGACGAACTCGTGTCAATGATGCACCATCCCAATCGGCGAACCGTACCGATTTTCCGGATGAAGGACATCCGGAACGTTTCAGTGAACTTTGTAGACTATGTGATCGCTGCATCAAAAGTCTGCAAGCAGTCAAATGCAAAAACAATTTCAGCAGTTCGAAAAAATGTGCTTATGAATCGCAATTCAACGAAAAAATCATTCCTTGAGATTCTTATCGAATGATCTGAAGTAGAACACAGAAATTATAATAATAGACCAGAATAACTGTTTGCAAGTGGCTAACAGCTTCAAAAACTGATGAGAGAAGCTTCCAATAGACAATGCGTTGAGCGCAAGTCTTCAAGAGTTAAGCGTATTATGGAAATGAAATGGACAGATAGGTTTCTCGAATGGTGAACAATTAGAAGTAAACAAGTGCTTACATACGCATTTCATTTCTTCAAATATCTCATTAACTTTATGACGAAGTAAACATATTCTCATTTATGAATCCATCTAGTTCACTGATCACAAAGGCGCCAGTGCGTATTCTCGTCTAAATTAATCAACGATCACAACTTATGCTAGCTATAGGGTGAGTGGGAGGATTCGACTATTTGCTGTTTGAGTACCAATGTTGACGCATGAGAAGTGACTGGTGCACTTATTGCATGATACTAGGACATTTATTTGTCAAGTCAACATGTATAGCTTTTGGTTACTTTCATGCAGAAAGTTATTGACTGCGAGCGAGGGCAGTTAAAACAAAGGTGAGCAGTGTTTTGATTAAGAATT